ATCCTTGAAGCCTGGATCCCGGAAGATCTCTCCCAATGACGTCTCTCGCGGCGCTGGGAATCGGAAGGGCCAGAAGCCATGGAAGGAGTGCGATGTCATCGAAGAGGAAGGTCTTCTCGAAGACGAAGATCGTGCCAACTCTCTCCCTCGTCGCTGCTATGTTCTCGCTTTCATTTTAGGGTTTTTTGTTCTCTTCTCTATGTTCGCGTTGATTCTCTGGGGCGCAAGCAAGCCGATGAAGCCTAAAATCACAATGAAGGTTCCATCTCGCTATTCTTAATTTTCCACTAGATTTTTTAGATTGTTGTTGCTCAATTTCGGTTTTAATTTCCTTCAATTGCAGAGCATTACGTTCGAGCAATTCAAAATCCAAGCCGGTTCCGATTTCACCGGCGTCGCCACTGACATGGCCTCTGTAAATTCCACTGTGAAACTCACATTTCGGAACACCGGATCGTTCTTCGGCGTCCATGTCACATCAACTCCCGTCGATTTAACATACTCTGAAATTTCAGTTGCTTCAGGAAGCGTAAGCTCCCAAAATCCTCCACAAATTTATCTCAATTGCCCTCTTCTTATCTTATTCTCTGCCCGATTGGGAATTTGCAGGTAAAGAAATTCTACCAATCACGGAAGAGTCAGAGATCTCTCACTATCAATGTAATCGGCACCAGAATCCCTCTGTACGGGAGCGGCGCAAGTCTGAGCAGCTCCACCGGAACGCCGGCGACTCCAGTTCCTCTGAAACTGAGTTTCGTGGTGAGATCCAGAGCCTACGTGCTGGGCCAATTAGTGAAGCCGAAATTCTACAGACACATCGACTGCCCCATAATTTTCGATCCCAAGAAACTCAACGTCCCGATGTCGCTCAAGAATTGCACAGTCGTTTGAAAACGAAACGTGGCAGAGAATCGAGAATCTCTTCAACATTTATTAAAATCAGTACTTGTTTTTTTGTTCTTGAGGTCTAGGAATGGCGGACTGCGACAGGCTTGAAAGAGGCAGCAGCGTAACGGGGGCGACGCCGAACGGAGGGGGAGAGGAGGACCCAGCCACAGAAACGGGGTTTCGGCTGGCTGCCCGCCTGCCCGAGTCGTGCAATACAGGTTGGTTTCCGGGCAGCCACACGTGAACGGACGTGGGCTATTTAATATTTATTTATTTCGGTTTAAAATTATCTCATTCTTTTAATTACGGTGTGAGTGATGATAATATTATATATATGGAATTAATTGTACTATTATTAAGCAATAATAGGGGTACGTATATCTTTCAGAGTCTGATTTTGCCCATAATTAACGGTGGCTGATTGGTAAAATAATTGTGCCTGGAGGGGTCAGTTTGTCTTTTGGATGTTTTTTTGATGACAATTTAGTCAAACTTGTGAACAAAAATTATTTAATAGGCTTTTTTTCTTTAATGAAAAATGGCAAAGATTAGTAAAATGATTTCTGGTGTCTCATGAGCATAATTTCGTGCTTTTTATAATCCATGCAGCAAAGCATGCATGTGATGTTCCTTGACTTCATAATTTACTTTTGTGTATAATTTGACTTCTATTTTCTATTTTTTTTAGTACTGTATAATTCGATTTCATGATTGAGATCCCAACGTGAATGAATTGTTTTAATTTTTCTAATACAATAAATAAATATAAGGTAGGAAGATTAAACATCTTAGAGCACTTAGATTGGCAAACATAAATCCTTAATTTAATTAATTAAGAAGGATGAATGGCTCAGTGAAGTTTAAACTTAAATTATAATTTTCACTTAAATTATAATTAATAACCAATCTCATTATAGTTCAATTGGTTAAGACATCTATTTTGATAAAAATCATGAATTCGTATCCTCATTTCACATGTTATTTTACATTATGATTATTAATAATTTAGGTTTGATAATCATTTCTTTTTTAGTTTTTAGTTTTAAAAGATACGTTTATTTCCTCAAAATATCTTAGCATATAATTTTTACCTCCTTGAAAATACATTTTAACTTCAAATTTTAAAAACAAAAATTATTTTTTTAGTTTTCAAAACTCTAACTTATATTTTGAAATAATAAAATAAAATAAAATAATGAAACGAAGAAACATATGTGAAGATATTGTGCATGAGCTTGATTGAAAAAAAAAACACCAAACAAGGGATGTAGTGACATTATGTAAAGTCCTCTTGAGGCCTCCAAGAATATCATCCTGGGTTCAAACGTAACTCTACTAAGCAATGATCATATGGATATGGGGACAGTACACAAACAATTTTTTTATTTAGATTTGAGAACAAATTCAAAAATACAATTTTGAAAATGTTCTAAAAAGAACAAGAAACGTAGTTAATTGTATATGTCTCCTTGAATAGACATTAATGGGTATAAATGTCTCTTTGAGTTTGGCTTGAATTGACATGTATCTTCTCCTCTTTCCATACATTATCCAAATACCTCTGAAACAACTTTTTACGGGTAGAAAAAATATGATGAAAAATCAAATATTGTTTTTAAAACTATGGAGGTGTAGGGAGAAGGGTAAATACATTATAGACAGAGTAAATAGAGAAACACCTGATTTTTTTTCTCGAACGGCAAAAGACGGGATGAGAGCATACAAGTGACCCACTTAATGAGTTTAAAGCCTTCTCCCTTCCTCTCCAGGCCTTGTGCAGTGTTTACAATGGCTGTCACTTTCTTATGCTTTTTCCATTTTTTGAAGAACATGCAGTCTCTATAGAGTTTGCGAATGTGTGTCTGCATGACTAGGGTGACATTCACATTTTCACTTCCTCTGTATATGGAACTATCTACGAGGTCTGTATGTACAAAGTTACTGACCATGTAATTCTACTTTTCTCACACCACTTTGATTGCTAAAATGTACTATGAAATTTGCATTTTGACAACCAAAAATAGTCATTCACACTTTTAGTATGTGGACTACCTACGGGGTTTGTTTTAGGGCCCCATTTACACTTTCACTTTTTTTGTACATGTAACTAATCTACAGGGTCTGTATGCGCAAAATTACTGGTCATGTAATTCGGGAGGCCCACACCACTCCTCTGAAATTTGCATTACAGTATGAAGAGGATCAAAAGTAGATTTCTTTTTAAAAAAAAGTGGACTGCACGTAGCCTAAAAATTGGAGATCATTGGTATACTATTTGTCTTCTACATGGTGGCCAACGCTATTATTTATTGGCATTACGTCGTGGTTGGAATGACTGATCCACGCCCGATGTTATCCTTCATCGACTCATTCTCATTCACCGCCATTAGATTCACTCTCATTGGCACTTTATAACTCCAAGTAAGTCCAAAATCACCTTACTCATTGTCATTAGCAAAATGATCCCATGCAATGAAATAGAAGATTAGCGGGACAGAATGGCAAAAAATAAGGTTGTTGGGACGAGTTAAATCATCTTGAAACATTATCTAAATCTCCTTTATAAAATTTTCGTTTATGTAGGGTGTAGAGAGAGAAGATTTGATTTTTAATTAGTTTGAAACATGATTCAAAATAGCGTTTACTAGGATAGGGAGAGAATGATTGATTTTTAATTAGTTTGAAACATAATTAAGGTTAGCTTGATTTTAGGGATACTAAACCAAAATCTGTGATTCACACATGTATAAAGGGTAAAATTGATAAATTACAAACTAAAGTAATATAGGAGGGGTAAAATTGACAAATAACGGACTGGTGTTGGAAGGGTAAATTCGAAAATCTACCCCGCATAATTTTCGGAAAAAAAATGTGTTAGCACACCGTATTTGGTCCGACCTTTTTTTTTTAATTTAATTTATATTATTGTATAGTTGGCAAGGCTTGGAAGCAAGCTACCAGCGCCTATCGACGAGAACTAGGCTTGGCTTGGTTAGTAGTGCCCGCCCCCTTGTCCTGGAGGCTCGCCGGCCCATTCATTCTTCAGAGCGGGCCGGCAGGCCGGGCGGACGGGGACCGTCGAAGAAGTGCCTTGACGCGCCGCAGCCACTACTTCTCCTCCTTTTATGCAATTATGAACTCCACGGAGCCATGGTAGCAGTTCTTGGCTGTTGAGTTTAGGCAGCTAGTGCTATGGAACTCATGTGCAGTCGGAGGTTCCCCGGGGTTGTCTCGTTCCTGCTTTTTTTAAGGAGCAAGCTACCTTACTTAAGTAACTGGTATTTGAGTAAGGTTTGGAACCCCGAGTAGCTATGCTCGTCTCCTATGAGACTAGATATCCTGAGTAGGTGTGGGCTCTTCCTTATTAACTTATTAATGTGTTCGAAGCCTGGACTATGAGTGACTTTCTTCCCGGCCGCGCACACCGTATTTGGTCCGACCTTTTTTTTTTAATTTAATTTATATTATTGTATTTTACTTTATTAAGTTTTACTTTAATTAAAAAAATAAGTTTACTTTATTATTAGTTTTAACATAAAGTTTAAATTAACTCATTAAAAAGGTTGGATTTATTTAAATGTTTTGATTTTATTAATAAGAATATAAAAGTAGTTTTGTTTAGATTTTGTTTTATTATTAAATAGAAAAATGGATAAATAACTCTAAACCTTGATCTCGAAAGAGATCTGATGACGTCGGTCGTTCCGCGTGATGAAGTTGCGATAGTCATTTTTTAAAATTACGAAACCTTTTGCTATTTTTCATTATATATCTGGTACATAGCCACTACCGAGGATTTCCGTTTTATATTTGATTTTGATCTCTAAGCCCGTATAAGTGAATTCTTCAACGTTGAAGGTTATATCCATGATCCATACCTCGCAACAAATGGTTGAATTAGAAAAGAAAAAGAATAAACACAAATTTAAAAAATTATAAGATGGAACAAGCAACCCGCTTAAACCGGGTTAGTAGGATACTTCATATTGAGGTTATTTTCTCCAATGAATGGCTCTTCGTCTTCCTCAGCCACCATTTCCATCCACCCCACCCTTCATCTAAATTTGGACAGATAAATGGAACGGCTTTCCATGCCTTCTTCTCAATTTTCACCCCTCAACTTATGCCTCCTGCTGTTATAATTTCACCATCGCTACCAATCTGCCAGCACAAATTATGGAGATATTTTCACAGTACGTTCACATTTGCTTCTTCATCCTATTGATTGAAATTTGTTGTTTCCTTTTCAAGTTCCCGGGACTCTATTCTTGGGAGCTCTTCTTTTGACTTCAATTTTTGTTACATTTAGTTACAGTTCATGAGTGCATTGATAATATACTTTTGTTCTGGTTTACCTAGTACCTGTAAATTTTGGAATGTACACATATTATCTGATGGATTAGAAGTGAGGAAGATCTTAGGTATATAACAGCAGGACTATATAGAGAGACCTATTGCAAAACTGGTGCGGATCCAGTTAGTCACTGGCAAGTCAAAGATAATTAGTGATTTATAAAACGGAACAATCATATGGGTTGCAAAGTTGCATAGTTTTTATAGCTGATTTGGAATCAAAACAAAGATTAGAATTGTACCATGTGTTCAGAATCGATGGTTCTCTTTAGTATCTCAAACGGTTTCTTGTTGCATCTCGGCGATAGAAGTGTTTTGATTCTTGTTATATATGTTGTTCCTTTTATCTAGAGGTGCTAGACGATTGTTTTTGGGAGAGACCTCAAGTTATGCATCTTTTAATGTGAAGAGATTACTCTGTTTCTCATTGAGATTTTACTTTCTGATGTTGAATACTTGATTTAATGAAACTCGAAAGTGTCTCCCGTCTTTGCCTACTGAAAAAGGAAGCATCTTGTCCATTCATCAACCACTTTAAAGTTGATCCAAACCGTGTTACAAGAGGTCCATGCCATCATCCATCTCCAAACTATTTCATTTTCTGAATAAAAGCCCATTCAGAAACTACACCAGAAAAAAGTGGCGGTCCAAACCATTAGCAAGAAGAATTGTGAAACATAAGTCTAGCAGTCGACAGCGGAAGCAAGCGCTCGGCAACAACGAGCTAAATATAATGATACGACAACCTCAGCCCTCAAGTATAATCTTCAGTCCATGAATATGCTCAGAGCAGAGATGGCAAAGAAGGGCATCATGAAAGTGAGGTAAACAAAACTACTAATTGCTGCAATGGTTGGTTTCATCATATTTACAAGAACAAGAATGACGTGAACTCAGTGAGTTGCCAAGTATGAATATATTGCTTTTGTTACGTTGTTGGAATCTCTGTGAAAGTAAACCAAGCCTTTGCCCCTCCGTGTGTTGGTCCTTTAGGTTCATTGATTTTGTAGGTCTATGTGAACTACATATTAAAACACTTAGGTTCTGAACTGGTATTTGTTTGAATTTTTTTGTATTCGATTTGTCT